TTCAAAGATTGACTTTCACAATTCAAATTCTTATTATGAAGATTGACTTGGGGACCAGTTCTCGCTTAACAACAGCTCTTTTAAAACTTTGATATTTTAAGAGTCCCGACGAGCTTTCGAATCAACTTTATTGCAATAAGTAATAACTGCATTACAAAGACGTATATGCGATTTGCTATATATAGTATCATTCGCTTTTTCAGCAATATGGAACGAATCCGTGAAGGTATCGGTGATAAGCTCGGCCTACTGCTTCGCGGTTGCGCTATGTTCATTGCTGCCGTCATCATCGCATTCATCTACGAATGGCGTTTGGCACTGATGATGCTTGGCGTAGCGCCAGCCACCTGCATAGTCATGTCACTCATGGCGAGAGTGAGTCATTTTGTCGCGACTTGCGCACAGCTTTCGCAGCAGGATACTCTGTTTACAGAAAATGACCTCTACCACCATGAAAGAGCTGGCTGGAGTGGGTAAAGCCGGATCTATAGCTGAAGAGTCATTGATGGGAGTGAGGACGGTACAAGCATTCAATGGGCAGCAGGAGATGGTGGACAGGTTGGTTGGAAAAGAATAAAGAAGAAATTCCACGCTCAAGAATTGATGTTCCGAATGAATCGGCAGCGAGAACTGGTTCCCAAGTGACAGAACTACTCTGTTTTGGAGATCTAACATTGTGGAAACAAGTTTTCGTTCCAAAAGCGATCTTAGAAAGAAACCTTTTTGTCCCAAATGAATTGCGCAGCGAGAACTGGTCCTTGAGAATCGATGCTACTCTCTTCTAGAAACTTGTCTTCCCCGAGCGGATTTCGGCCCCAAAAGATTTTCCTATATATAGAAGTGTTTTTTGTTCTAAATAAGTCTGTACGCAAAATTGTACGAAAACTGGTCCCCAATGAGGAAGTAATCCTTTCGGAGGTCTGCTTTTGGTTCAAAAACAGTCTTTCTAGAAATAAAACTAGTTCGAAGCCAGAATTGAGTGAAGGAGTGAAGGAACTACCCTTCTCTGCAAGGAAATCTTCCGGAGACCAGTTCTCGTTTTTGAAAGTAATTTATTTAGAAATGAGAGTGCTTCGTTGCGAAAATAGTTCCTCGAGTGGCGAACTTGAACTTCTGTGGGATAATTCTTTCAGGGACCAGTTCTCGCTAAGGAAAATTTATTTTTCAGAATAAAACTGTCTTTTTAGATATTCGGCCGAACTAGGTCGAGGAAAAGTGTTTGCTATCTGGAAAGGATTCTGGAGCGGTTTCCTTGGTGGACTATTCTTTTTCATCTTGTTTTCGTTTCTTGGATGCGGCATGCTGTAAGTTTTGCTTCACGCGCTCCAGTGCGCAAGATTGGCCTAAAGCTGGTATCGATCAATTCAGCTACGGCGGCTACTTACTCAAAGTGCGAATCATCGACACTCCCGGCGAAGTGTTTATAGTCGTTATGTCAATGCTGCTAGGGGCATACTTCTTGGGACTGATTTCACCTCATTTGATGGTTTTGTTGAATGCTCGCGTTGCCGCTGCCACCATTTATCAAACAATTGATAGGGTGAGCTAACAGTTATTGATTTTATCGATTTCTCGAAAATACGCGCCACTTTTCTAGGTCCCAAAAATCGATATCTACTCGCCGTTAGGACGCAAACCAGACAGTGCTGTGGGTCGCGTTGTGTTCGAAAACGTACATTTTAGAT